AGAGTTTGTTTATATTCGTCGACAGGTCAACGGCGTACGTCGATCTTACTCTGTCTAGCGAACACTCACTCGTTGGTCCCTTTTTAGGTCTGAGACGCAAATCTCATTTACCAAGGACGGGACCTAGCGATTTTAACGAGGAAGTGAGAATGGGTTGTACGGAGAGAAGGATAACAAAGAATAATTCTTTAGTTTGATTCCACACATTATAAAGTAGTTATATTTATGTAAAAAAAAGACAAATCGAAATCTTAGCAAATTACTAACATACAGGTGTGTTAAAACTAATACAATGACGGAGCGCATAATCGTACAAAGTAATCTATAAGCTAGGGTGCAAGTGTGAGAGAGAGGGGGAATACGAGTTGTTTAGTGCAGCCAGCCTCTTTAACCATGTTTACGCAACTTAGATCATCTTAGAAATGTATTTCCTTATGTCAATTGACAAATTCGGTTTTGTTTCATTTCTTAGGTTCCGCTAGATTTAATGATAGGAATAAATTTGGATGTATCATGATTCTAAGACTGATATTCGGAGATAAGCGGGCTTAGTTTGTTTTCGTGATTTAGGAAGAAGGTGAGAGATTATTCAGAGCGATTCAAAACCGCGGATGTCTGTCAGAAGTCATCCAGAGCGATTTAAAACCGCGGATGTCTATCAGAAGTCATCCAGAGCGATTCAAAACTGCGGATATCCTCTCTGATCAAGGAAGGAGGGGAGAGGCTATCTTAAACAGTTCAGTACCGCGGCTGCTGTGTCTAATTTGTGCGAGACTTTATCGTTTTTCTCTCTTTTTCTCAATCTCTATTTCTAGTTCGTGGGATCTCAGTGAACAATTGGTTTCTTAAAAACACTTACTACATGGTTGAGTGGCGGCGGTGTCGAGTTGGCTGCAGGCACTCGGGAATAGAGGGTTGAATACCAGTGCGGCTTCGGTGTCCCGGCTTTGGAACTCACGGCACCGAACTTTTCAAACTCTACCACGACACTCCCGACCTTTAAGATTAGCGGCTCTCAACTGATTCCGGTTCTGATAGTCCTGGCTTATATACAATTTTGAGTAAGCGAGGACTCTCTCAATCGGAAAACTCAGTCGAGCTTTGCCAATTCCTATTCGTTAGTTAGTGGTCGGGTAAACTTCGTGAGATCTCCAATCGGCGACGATCTCTCGGCTCGGTCGGCTCGTCCGATTTTCCGGAGAAGGGAAAAGGGAGAGTATTGTTTTTTTTTTATCACGCCATAGACTCTTTGCTATTTGTTTATAATAAAATTGCTCGTGGCGCCGGAGGTTTTATTTGCGCCGGCTGCTCTAAAATTTTATAAGCGGTGTTTTTCTTGACCCGGAGATATCCGGGTTTGTTTGGAAAGCTGCTCAGAGTGTTTAAATAATAAATTTTTCTTGCTCGTTATCATAAAACTTTAGGTTATTACCAGGCGCGGTTTATCTTTTCGGGCGCCGATGTGATTTCCGTTTGCTCTCCTATCGTTTGGAGTCTAAGTTTCCAAACGATAGGAGATCCGTTTGGATTCTTTATTGCTTTTTGTTATTTACTAAAAAAAGGTTTGTTATGCGTTGGCGCGTTGCAAGAAAAAGGGGCCCGTGGAGTCCCCAGGACGTAACACATAATTATATATAATTTTATGATTATATTATATTTATATTTCATAATCTTCTATCTTTTATAAAATGTTATTAGTAGGTTAAAAGCTTAGTATTAGGACTATTAATTTTAGAAACTTATTTTGTTTTTTGCTGCAGCTACATAAATTTTGTATATATATTATGTACTACCCACACAGAACAAAAACTCCATTAGATATACATTAGACGTCAAAAGTTCTATGCGATATCTAATAGATGTCTAATAGAGTTTTTGTTCTGTGTGGGCATAATATATTAATATATATGCTTTTGTACCTACACAANAAGAAATGTTTAAACGACCGAAGCGAGCTATCACGAAACCGTTGTGGTATACAATGACGTCGGATGAGGAGGTTCTTTCGAAAAAAAGAAAGGTCGCAACACCAACTAGCGCTGAAAAGNAGATCCAAGAAGATATTCAGGATATAAGAAGAAATTTCAAACAGGATCCTATCTAGGGTGCGCCATCTCAATCTGGTCGATGAAAGTATTGAATAACTTAGAGAATTTTCAACAGATTTCACAAAGTCGTATTTTTTTATTAAATTTGATTCATCACAATTTATTTTGATTAGTTTCCAAAAACCACATCGATCAAATGTCCGCCTTTAT